ATAAGACAGAATCCAATCATATCTAATCAAATCTAATCATATCATATCTAATATTCTAACAGAGACGAAGCGATCATGAATCTGAAACTTCAGATGGAGGGTTTTACCGAATGGAGGCTAAAGGCGAGGAAGTTGGAATTACCTCTATTTTTAGTGAGGACGTGTATGGCTGGTTAAACAAAACTGAACGATACTTTTTGTAAACGAAATTGAAGAAACAAAGAAGTTACCGTTGGTGCTCTTGACTCTGGAAGGGGAAACGTTGAATTGGTATCGGTGGTGGAAGTTAAACATGGTTAATACTTGTTGGACAAAATTTCGTTCTAAAATTGAGTCAATTCCAACCTGAAATGAAGGACAACCCATACAAGCCATTGCTTACTCTTCGTCAAACAAGAAGCGTGGCTAAATACATACTGCCTTTGAGTGTGTGGTTGGTCCTCTACGTTACAAAGACAAAGAGATTTTGCGAGGTATTTGGTTGTACAGATGCCTCAGGCAAGGGATATGGTGTTGTTTTAATACAAGATGGGTCCATAGGTTATATTAGTTAGGGGGTTTTCTCCTCGAGCCTTAGGTAAATACGTTTATGAAAAGAAGCTAATGACAATTGTATTTGCAGTTCAAAAGTGGAAACATTATTTGATAGGGAGGCTGATAGAGACCAACCAAAAAATAAATCTAACACACAGTGGATTATGGAAAAGGAACACATCTGTATATAGATGTATCTATATCTGTATTACAATATGAAAATGGTAACAACTCAGAGACAATTTAACAAGAAAAGGGAAATACAATGAACTGGAAATGCTATAACAAAAAGGGAAATAGTGTAAGATAATTCTAGAGCAATTATAGAGGCTCTAGACCCTCCCAATCACCCAAGAGGTGCCCAAAGTTCCAAGTCCCAAAGATACTTCCATCCTTCTACTATTCCCTATTTATACTAATTCTTTCCCTTCATTCCAGTGTTGAGTTTTTCCGTGGAGTTTTTCCGAAAGATACAACCCCAATGCTGATTGGGAGTTTTTCCGACGAGAGTTGTTGAGTAGGTTTCAGCCGGAAGCCCTGATACAGAGCACTATACACGCTCAAGCAAGTTGGCACGATGGCAGAATTTAGACGAGAATTTGAGGTGATTGGAGCCCTACGATTTGAGGACGAAGACCTGTTGAAAGGAGCGTGGCTCAATGGCGTTCGAAGCAGTATACACGAAGAGCTGATGATGAGTCCCGCCATAAACTTGATAGACATGATGAAGTTCTCTCTGAAAATAGAGAAGAGGAACGAAGCGTGGAAGGAGAAAGGGTTAGGGGCAGGGGGAAAGACCGGATCGTTTGGGCCCCACCGAGGGGGACAAACCCAACGAGGCTGGACCAGCCCACAAGCAGGCAGAGGTTGGAGCGGGTCGGGTCTTGGGACAACCCAATTCAACTAATCCAAATCACACAGCTTCTCAGTCAATTAGGGCACCAAATGAAGAACAACAAAGGGCTACGGCTGCGAAAGGGGGCTATCAAAACGCCGATGGTGGTCACGCTACTGAAAGTCAGGCGAATAGCAACCAGCGACTCTCACCGGCGGAGATCAGGGAACGACAAGCAAAAGGGCTGTGCTTCACATGCAACGATCGCCGGAACCCGAACCACAGATGTCCATTCAAGCAGCTCCAGGTGATGATTGTTGACGATGAAGACAGTGGTGAAAGACAGGAGCCTGTGGGTGATGGGGCTGAGCATGTGGAAGAGGATCCCCAAGAGAGAGAGAGGAAGAGATGGCTCTGCAACTTTCGATGCAAAGTTTACTAGGGTTCACTTCAAGCCAAACACTCAAAGCATGGGGGGAGATTCTGGGGTCCAAAGTTGTTGTAATGGTACATTGTGGAGCGTCGAGTAATTTCATAAGGAGAGGGGTGGCTGAACAGCTGGGGCTAAGAGTGACGGAGACTCAAACCTACAACGTAGAAGTGGGAGATGGCCATAAGGTTTGCTGCCAAGGGGTGTGTAAGGAGGTAAGTATCCTGCTTCAAGGGACGCTGGTTGTTCAAGATCTCTACATTTTTGACTTGGGAAGTGCTGACGTGGTCCTCGGATTGGATTGGCTGACTCAACTAGGGGAGATAAAGCTAATTTCAAGGACTTGACCTTGAAGTTCGTACGGGGAGAACAAGAAGTGGTCATCAAAGGAGATCCATCTTTGTCCCATTTGGTTGCTTCACTGACGTCTGTTGTGAAGGCCCTGCAAGATCATGGTCAAGGATTTTTCTTGAAATCAAAAAAGGAAAGCGAAGGGGGTGACGAGGTTCAGTGGGATGAGCTAGAAAAATTGTTAACAGAATACGAGGATATTTTCCAAAAGACCAGAAAGCTACCACCAAAACGGGAACAAGATCATGCAATGAATCTGAAACCAGGAAGCGAGGTGCCAAATATACGCCCCTACAGGTACCCCCATTATCAGAAATCTGAAATTGAGAATTAGGTGGCGGAATTGCTTGGGGATGGGCTGATTAATACAGTACCAGCCCTTACTCCATCCCAATGATTTTGGTGAAGAAAAAGGATGGTAGCTGGAGGGTCTGTGTTGATTACAGAGCCTTGAACAAGTTGATCGTTCTTGATAAATTCCCTATTCCGATTGTGGATGAGCTTGGAGGCTCAACCATATTTTCTAAGCTCGACCTGAAATCTGGTTTTCACCAGATAAGGATGCTCGAGGAGGACATACCAAAGATAGCGTTTAGAATGCATCAAGGGCATTACGAATATCTAGTGATGCCCTTTGGCTTGACAAATGCACCCTCCTCATTCCAAGCCCTTATGAATGAGGTCCTACGGCCGTTTTTGAGAAAGTTTGCGTTAGTATTCTTTGATGATATTATGGTGTACAACAAGGACAGAAAGGAACACTTGGAGCATTTGCGTTTGCTTTTTGAGTCGCTACGATCTAATTCTCTGGTATGCAACAGAAAGAAATGCTGTTTTGGCAAGAATCAAATGGAATACTTGGGGCATGTCATCACAGCAGAAGGGGGACCCCAGTAAGGTCCCGGCCATGAAAGGATGGACAGCACCCAAAGATATAAAAGGACTGAGAGGATTTTTGGGATTAACGGGGTATTATAGAAGATTTGTGCAGATTACTTCTCTATCTGTAAACATTCTTTTCCTCTTTAGTTTTGGATTAGGTCTGGACTTCTCACTTAAGTCCATTAGGGTCTCTATTTATTGTAACTCTTTGTATTAGCTTGCTACACAACATATTATTTTATATTCAAGTGTTAGAATTATTCAAAAGTGCAAGTACTAAACTTAATTACACCACTGCTTCACTGCTTATCATCCTCAATCCAATGGTTAAACCGAGGTTGTTAATCACTGTTTGGAAACTTAAGCTGTTTTTGTAGCCCAAAGCCAAAACAATGGCCTAAATGGTTACATTGAGTAAAATTTTGGTACGACACCACTCATGAGAGTCCACGGTTGTGACACCCTTCTAAGCCCTATATGGGTGTGATTCCCCTTGCATTTTTCGAGAAGGGCAGTATGCCAACACAATAGATGAGGTTTCAAAAATGCGGCAGGAACGTCATTCATTTCTGAATGAACTACAACAACATTTGGTGAAGGCCCAGAACAGAATGACGGAGGTTTAGGCTGATCTACATCGGAAGGAGGTAGTGTTTAATGAAGTTGACTTAGTTCATTTAAAAATTCAACCCTAAAGATTGAAGTCTTTAGCTCACAAGGTAAATGAGAAGCTAAGTCCTAGGTACTATGGTCCTTACAAATTGGAACTCTCCCTGATTGCAAAGTTCACCCAGTATTCCATGCATCGCAGCTCAAAATAGCCATTTCTCCTATTGTTTATGTACAGCCTCTGCCATCTATTTATCTAAGGAATGGGAACTACAAACTGAACCTGAAGAAGTATTGCAATGGAGAGTATCAACCCCTGGGAAAATGGAAGTATTGATCAAATGCAAATCTATGCCCTTATTTCAAAATATTTGGGAGGACTTTACAGACTCGCATCATCAGTTCCTAATTTCTACCTTGAGGACAAGGTGGTTAAATTTGTTTTGGGGAGGGGGGGGGGGGGGGGTGTTGATACGGTTAAGGCAAGAGGTTTGGTAAGACGTATCAAAGGAAGAGACAGAGAGGATTAGCTCCATTTGTAACTGTTGACTCAACAGGAGTTAGTTAGAAGTCAGTTAGGACACATGTGGCTACAAATACTTCAGATGGACTTCATGTTGAGACATATTGGATCATTTTTGGAACCTGGTCCTGGGAGAGAATCAGTCTGTCAATTTTTTGTGACCTTGTTTCTGTCTCAATCTTTCCTCTTGTAATTTTTCCCTTTATTTCTTCTAATCAAGTGTAATTTCTTTTGTAATTCCACATAAAAAACCTGTTTTCTTTCTATTTGAGCGTCCTTTGTATCATATACCCACTAAATTCATAATTTGGATTGCCAACACCTTCATGATGTTCCATCACATTGTAATCCACCTTTCATCCTCCTGTTTCTCTCTCTCCATCTGACCTTCCGTTGCTTTATCTCTCTGGTTTCCTACCAAGGTTTGTCTGTGTCAAATCATGTGGGGTTCTGTGCTTAATCACTGTTGCTATCCTCATTTGGGTAGCTGACAATTTATTTTCCAAAGATCATTATATACCTCTTTTAAACAAAGCATGTTTTAAGTTGTCTTGGTATCTGTTTTTAGTTTCATGGGATCAGATGTATTTAGTGGAATTTTTGAAAATTAGGAAGAGGATGAAGGGTATCGAACATGCTAGAAAGTGTCTTAGTGTGTAAATCTTTTGTTTGTGGCATGTGTTATTGTTATTATTAGTATTCAAAGAGATCCTTGTTGTTGTCTTGTAACATTGGTATGTTGTATTGTCTTGTACACAGCCCCTCTCTTTAATCTTCCTCATTTTTTGTCACTTCAATTTTCAACATGACGTGATTTTGAATTTAACCATGCTCAGGAAACACATACTGATGGTGATCCTGAACTTCTGGACGACTCTGACTTTTATCAGCAATTATTGAAAGAATTTTTTGAGACAGTTGATCCTTCATCATCTGGTAAACATGTTCTTTTTGGTTGATTAAATTTTTTATAGTAATATTTCTACTTCTAATACCACTGGACTAGATAGGGTTTTTACTTTTCAAGATCATAAATTAAGTGAATGGATATGTTATACAGTTATAATGATACATATAAAAATGTTTTGCCATTTAGGAGTGGTATTTGGTATGATATTATGTTGCATACAGGGTTCCTGGTAGATTCCTTTTCAGCCAAAAGGTTAAGCTTAGAAAATAGTGAATAAACTAAATGGAGCAAACTTCTGATATCCTTTATTGAAATAACACACCCTTTCAAATAGGTATTACGAGCAACAGGTTGGATTCCTAAAATGATGGCACTACTAACAACATAAAGATAACTGATACATGCTGAGAAATACATCCTAAAAAATTTACATCCTACCTGGACGTGATGCTGGAAGTGTTACCGTTGGGTTTGTATCAGTTCCAAAGGCACACCACCTTTCACATGTACAAATGACTGAATTTGTGTTTAACTAGACTCACCATCATGACAGTTTTGACTTTAACTTTCTTTGCGGTCTAAATTTTTTTACTTGCACCCTGGACAAGCAACTAGCATTTCCCTTAGGTATATGAAATGTGATCTATTGCCGAATGCTTGCTGCTTCTGAAAACCGTGCTAATTTTCCCACCAAGATTCTAAAAAAAACATGGATATGCATTTTGGAAAGCTAAAAACAGGGAAGGGATGTAGAATTATCTAGTAGTTACTCTTGTAATCACCATCCCCCAAACGGTCAGTTGAAAACTTTCAGAGGCTGGAATTTACATGTGAATTTTCACCACTATATAATTGTTAGTTATATCCCTGAAAATTTTATTGAAATGTGCTTTCTTTAACTGTGCAAGTCCATTTTCTCATTTTTTGCTCTTTCCATTTGTACAGAGAAAGCATTTTATGCTTTGAAGAGAATGCAAACGAAGAAAAGAAAAATTGTTGATCGTCGTGCCTCTAAAAGTCGCAAGTTAAGGTATCAAGATCACTGTCAACTTTTATTTTTCTGTTTTCATGCATATATCTTGCCTTCGTCTTTGTGAAGTGAGAAAGATTTTGAATGATTTGGTGTTGAAGGTACAATGTTCATGAAAAGATAGTAAATTTTATGGCTCCTCAACCAACGAATCTTCCTCCTATGGCTCCGAAGTTATTTGAGAATCTATTTGGATTGAAGAAGCAAACATCATCTGCTGCAGCCTCATAATCATGGTTGGCAGACATAAATATAGGCTTCCCAGTTTTGCCTTATTACTTGACATGATGTATGTTGTACTACAACATGATGTTGAATATTGAGGAATTTGATTTTTCTCCTTACGATACAATTTTGTTGTAAATCTATTTAGCAATAGATATGCCAAACAGGTATTTTCGTCAGTTTAAGGTAGCTCTTGTTCTGTGGGGACACATTTAAGTACACATAGTTCCAAAACCGAATTTTATTTAAATCCGGTTTTGGAACACATTTCATAATCGGTTTTGAAATGGATCTAGAACTGGTTCGTCTTCTGATCGATTTTGAATTAAATCCGAACTGATTCGTATATGTTTTGGAACTGACTTTGAATTGATCCGGAATATATTCTTAGTATTTTGAGCTATTTTTATATTTTTAAACTTTGAAGATATGACTTACTAACACGAGTTTATTTAATTGTCTCTAATATTGATAGTGTGAGTTGATATATATATATATATATATATATATATATATATATATATATATATATATATATATATATATATATGAGATAGGATCATTTGACACCAGTGTCAAATTTCAAATTTGACACCTCATCTGAGAGCCGTTAGATCATAAAAGATCAACGACTCTGATTCGTAAGCATGTGACACCATTGATTTTTTGTGATCTAATGGCTCTCAACTGAGGTGTCATCTAATAGCCGTTAGATAAAAAAAATCAATGTGTCACATGCTTACAAATTAGAGTCGTTGATCTTTTTTGATCTAACGGCTCTCATATGAGGTGTCAAAATTCATATTTAACACTGATGTCAAAGGATCCTACCTATATATATATATATATATATATATATATATATATATATATATATATATATATATATATATATATATATATATATATATATATATATATATATTTTAATGACGACACGGTCGAATCTGTTTATGCTTTGTATGTATTAATTTTTCTTTTGAATTTTAAGTTTTTAATTTTCAATTCATAGAAAGTTATTTTTTTTACAATAATTTTATTAATACATTATTTTATATTTTTATACTTTAAAATCTAATTTTAGAAAGTACTTTTAACATGATAAGCAAATCATGAGATTATATATAGAATAATATCCTGCCATGTATTTTACAATTTCTTAAAACTATTGTTATGATTAGATCAAAATTAGATTTTGTAATTGTTGATTTGATTTTGATTCAATAATAAGAAAAATGATTCTAAGAGGTTGTAAGTATAATCTTAGTCTTAAATCATATGCAACAAATATTTTTCTTTTTTAACATTACTAAAGATGAGAACTTATTTGATATCATTTTTTAATTGTTAATTTGATTTTGATCTAAAAATTATTTTAAGAGGTTGAAAGTATAATTTTCCTCCTAAATCATATGCAACAAATATTTTTCTTTTTGAACATTACTAAAGATGAGAACTTCGCTTCTTTTGCAGGTAAAAATGATTTTGTTTAACGATGAAATACAACCCAAAAAAATCATTATATTATCATAATTGTTTTGAAATATTTTTTTAGAAAAAAAACAACTAATCACTCTTAATTATAAAATTAAAAATATATAAATAACATATTTTCAAAGAGGACGGTTATATTTATAATCTTTTTTTGTTTACAACCTATTACAATTAAATTTTAACTCTTAATTTTTATTAATTTGACGATTATAATTTATTAAGAATTAATAATTCATTAATAAATGTGACTCAGTAAATCATAACAGTTAAATTGACGAAAATCAACGATTAAGATTTGATTGTATGTGAAAGAGGTTGTAAATATAACCTCCCTCATTTTCAATTTTGGAAAGGAAGTTTATAATTTTTTGGAAAAAAGGTTTGTCCTTTTAAAGGATACAAATTGTGTCTTTTTAATTTTTAACATTATGTACCACGAGTAATGCATAGTTATAATATGAAAAGTTACTTTTTTTTTTCTCTCCTCAGTCACTTCAGCTAACGTCAAAAGTGAAAAAAAAAAATAACTTTTTCATATTATAACTATGTACCACCCATAGTACAAGGTGTAAAAAATTAAAAGGATACAACTTGTGTCCTTTTAAAGACACACATTAAACCCTAATTTTTTTAGTTGCACTAAAAACTAGTTTGAATCCATTCTTTTGATTTTCAAACCTGTTTAATTAAAGTTTTTTGATTCATTAACCACTTTAAATAAAGTTGTTGTTCATGAACCGATTCAAAATAATATGAATTTTTTGCTGCGGTCCAATTCTATTTTTAAGAAGTTTGATTATTTTTAATTTCTCTTTCTTACACACCCTAATAGGGGTATTAAAATGCCTTATCATTCCACTTTGAAAATACATATCTGTTTGCTACCATTGGTCAACTTACATAGCGCTAATATAATATTCTTCTTAATGGTACATAAAGCTATCCTTTACTGCAAGGAATATTGTTCTAAACTAATATATTAAATGAAAGTTAAAATACGAGTTACTTGACATTCAAACAACTCGCTTATGAGGGTGAAAAATAAAAATTTCATTCTTATTAATCATTGCTCGTTTATGGTCCTCATAAGTGCCTTATGATCTACCCGTTAAAAGATCACTTGTAGAGGCCAAAGGGGATTGAGTCCTCTAACATTGATCCACACGATCGTCTCTTGGTTGCAAGCGAGAACCTTTCTCCTTGATCCCTCCTTCTCCTTGGTAGCTTGCTAGGCATAGGCAAGGTGGATGCTATCGAGTGTTGGGTTTAATTTCCTCAAGACTGGTGGTGTCTTGAGGTTAAGTGGGGTGCAACAATGGAGGATGCGATGATGATGATGGGAGGCCAAAGAACTAAGGTTGTTGGTTCATGTTGTTGGGCGAATTTTTCATGAAAAGGAGCAATAAGTGTGGCACCTAATTCAGCCACCTAATTAGGTTTAATCCTAATTCAAGTGCTTACTAGAAAGGCCTAATCCAAGAGGATTTAATGTTCCTCTTTGGATATGATCTTCTCATGAAGATGGAGAACAATTCTGCTCATTTGAATTCAAAATTGAAAGGGCCAAGTGGTGCCTCTTCGTGAATTTTGAAATTCAAGATTGGTTCTAGAACCATCTTGAATTTGTGTTCCAATCATGAAAAACCAACTTGAATTCGAAATTCAAGTTCAATGGATCCCATCCATGTTGTTCAAATTTTCAAAATGGGATCTAGAATCTTCCCATTTCAAATTCTCTTATAGCGTCATTCTATCCTTTTGGCTGTTGTTTTAACAACCTTATCTGAATTCGTAATTCAAACAAAATGGTTGTTGCAAGAGGCCTTATCCAATCCCTATTGGTTTGAGCTTTGGATAATTCAAAATTATCCTTATCCACTTAACCTCTTGAATTCGAATTCGAATTTAAATTTCAAACTTAAATTTAAATTCAAATCCAATTTTAATTTTATCCTAACTCATAATTTAAATTTAAATTTCAAATTTAAATTTCAAATTCAAATTAAGAGTTATGTCAAAACCCATTTTTGCCCAGTCAACTGTTTGACTTACAAGAACTTATGACCCAAGACCCTATTGGGCCTTCTAACATATTTGGGCCTATTAATGAAGAAACGAATTTCACCATTAAAGCCCAAATGAGGGCGTATAATGTGATTGGGCTTGGAGTCCCTCTCCAACCTAATTTCACCTATAGTCTTGACAAGGTACAATAACAAATTATTGGCTTAAACTTGCTATAACATGCAATCAAGAATGACTTTAGTGTGTGACCCATTGACCAATTATACTCTTTTAACTAACCCAATTCATCTAATGACCACATAAGACACTAGCAATGCTCTGTAGCCTTAGAACTAATTGAGTTGAACAACTAATCTACCATTCTAATTTGGATATCGTGTCGGCATCATCCCTCATATCATCGTTCACATTTAGTCGAGAGGAAGGATAAAGTATCATCTCTCTTGTGTAACTAAATGTAGCTTTTTCACAGAATTAGGAATCTTCTTCTACTGATTCTAAGATGGATCCATGATTCCTCATGGTCGCTTACTATGCATAGATTCCCAAGTCAACTAGAAGTCATCCAAGCTTTACCGGTCTTGTGAACAAGTAATCCCTTATAGGGGACTAAGTCTTATTGATATGTCCATCTATACTCATATATTCAAGTTATACCCAAGAGTACACTATTCTCCCCATTTTCAGGTGGATAGAGTTGTATAGTCAAAGTATAACCCTATGATATATTGTTCGATGAAATCCTCAAGTCTAGGATGATCCACACTACCAAACGATGAGAGACATTACAAATCCAATGATACTCTCTACAATGAATCCTCGTGGAGTTTCTCAGCGGGTTAATTCAGTCCATATGTTCTTTAACAGATCCACCCACGACATCAGCTAAGACATCACCATGCCTGCATTCCATGAGGTCCCTACCTTGTATCTCCATACAAGTAGATGATATAGTACTAGTCTTATTGAGATCACCAATACCCAATCTTGGTGATTCAAGATTGGGAACAAGTTTCAAGCAATAAATATGTAGTGTCCTCGAGTCCTCATGATCATGATCTCTATCATATATCCTCGAGTGAACATCCATTTTATCCCTAGGGCCTTTATCTTTAAACGCACATGAAGCGTAAAATATAAGTGAGACATATATATATATGATAAAGATAAAGTATTCTTAAATAAATTAATCATGAAATACCAAACAATAAAATGTGTTTATTTGATAACACAGATTGTCTCTAGGACACCTACATACTAACATTAAAGTCTACAAACAATCTTTAACCATGAAGAAATCATCTTCAAAGAGGCTTTCGATGTCAATAATAACATCTCTGGGCACTTCTGCTCTAATTCATCTGTGATAGCATTTCTTAAGCCACCTACATCCAGAATCAACAGGGAGACTTTGCTGCCTCACCTACTTACAGGGAATAATCAAGGGCATTCCCTAAAACTGGTCATCCCCCCATTATAAATACAAGTGTTCTAAATAAAGGTACACATCTTTTTTGCTACATACAAAAACCTGCTTGCACAAAATCTAACTTGAGCGTTAGAATGTCTTGTAGGTACACTCCCACCTTGTTCCATTGAAGACCCATGGGTATAGCTACATCAAATCACCAACAAAGGGAGCTTCATCAAATCATGATCATCCTAGGTAATCCCAGATTGAACATTGGTGCCGCATGTTGATAGAGATAAATTTCTACTCCCACCTTCAACCATTTTCAAATGCAAAGA